AAAAAAAAAAAAAAAAAACCACGACAAGTTCCAGAAACAACCAGATGTGGTTGTTAACCTGCTTGAGGACAAAAGGGCCACATTGTAAGTGCCCCTGAGAGCCAGTCTGGGCTAGTGCAGTGTTTCTCAACCGTGGCAATTTCAAGATGTGTGGACTTCAACTCCCAGAATTTCCCCCCCCACGCCGCCTTGGTGGGGGATTTCTGGGAGTTGATGCCCATGCATTTCAAAGTTGCTAAGGTTGTAGAGGATGATAGGAAAGAAAGCAGGCAGGCAAAACAATCACGCGTTTGCAAAAGTGCAGACAGACAGCAAAGGCTATGATGTTTAGAAGCGGCAGAAGGAGAGTGTCCAAGTGCTACTAACCCCCAAACTCGAAGTTCCTCAATTCTGTTGACTTGAACGGATGCAAAACTTCAGTGAGTAAAGCAACTGAAGTGTCTTGTTTCCTCCTGACAGAGAAAGCTGTGCTCCAGTCACCGAAAAAGGGAATAAAAGATTAAAAGCCCAGCCACGTTATTTATATGGAAGGGCCACTTCCTCTGCCACCTAAGCTTTCTCAAAGAAGAGGGTGTGGTGGCCATTGGCACCAGGACCCCCAAACAGCAGCCGGGTTGAAGATGGAGGGCAAGAATCATGGAGAAGAGCCAGCTCCAAGGAAGAAGAGACCCTTCTGACCTTATTTTGTAAGTTAAAGGCCAACTGGAAAGACAGAGCCAGAAGGGACCCTCAAGGTCATCAAGTCCAGCCTCCTATCAACAGCATACCTGAGAGATGGATGCCCTTAAGCCAGGTTTAGTACCACCCAAGGCAGCCTGTTCCACTGTTCCAAACAGCTCTTAAGTCAGTAGGTGCATAATACATTTCAGGTCATGGACTGTTGCTTATTCACATGAATAATCCACAAAAATTCACTGCAATCAATTCTCATGACTTCCCTGGATTAATTCTCATATGAGAGAGGGACCATCTATCAGAATTAGCAGTTACTCCTTCTGGATAGCCTTGTGTTACTATCTAGATTGACTCACTCCATCTGGGCTTGGAAGAAGGCTTGATCAATTCCAGCATAAAAGACTGGTCTACAACCAGTTAGGTACCATTACATGTGAATCATGTGCAGATCAAGATCCCTAGACCTGTATCTTTTAGCTGCATTCACACGAACCATTAATTAATCAACCACATTTTACACTACTATGCTCTGCAAACCAGACTGTGCTACGTCTACCATTGGGCATTACCAAGAAATTTAATTAAGTAAGCCTTGGTTATAATAACCACGGGCAAGTTTTGGATAAACTTGACCTTTGTCTAATACCTAGCTTATACCTCCTGCCAAACTCCAGACTAACCTCTGGACTGGACTAGAATCCAGATTGCTTCATGGCAATAGCTGTGCTTGGAGACTTGGCCATAAACGTGAAATCCTAAAATGTTAACTTTTAGATTGCAATGGGCTATTCTTATTTTGGCAGAACTTGGAGAACTAATTCAAGTCTGGACAAGGATATTCCTGCACCATGCAGTCTTAAACTCTCATTGGATTTCAACCACATTCTGCCAAATGGGGCTTGACTGTGATTGATTTTTTGTGAGAATCCAATCAATATGGTTGTAAACTATGGTTTATGCCTTCCACAATATTTGAACACTGCTTCCTTGAGTTGGGTTTTTCCCCTAATCCTTAATAACTGATACTGGAGAAAAGAGGAGGGGAAAGTATTTTAATAGCTCAATTTTTAAACAGGCAGATGTAAGTAGCAGTTAACAGGAAGATAGGAAATCTTTGGGATCTCCCTTTCCAGCATACAAAAATCACCTCTAGTTATTTAAAAAACAAAATTAAGGCTTTTTACAAAGCCAGAAATCTGATCATTCATAGTTCTTTTAAATTATCCCATTTTCAAGATGAGTTTCCAGCTACAGGAAATTCTTTGGGTATTTCTAACAGGAACCCAGCCAGGGTTTTCAGAGGAGAATTTTATTCCCTCCATCATTTCAGAAATTGCACTCCAACAGGATGTTGGTTTGGGTCCAATTCTACTCTGCTTTTCCAGAATGCAGGGAATTTAGCCTACAATTTTAGATAGCCAAAACCTCTGGTGCGAATGTCCTGATTGCTTTAACCCATCCTCAAAGTTCACTACCTGGAACATAGGGTTAGTAGTAAGTATTTGCAGGGCTATTCTAAAGAGGCATATGAAAGGGGAAGGATAAGTAATAAGTCACTTAGTAATAGCAATTGCTTATCATCTTTAGAATACAAAACAACAGAATCTGCTGAACCAAGAAGCTTACAAGATTATTTTGAATTTTGTGTATACAAGATAGGATGAGTGCCAGAACTCCAGACTTAGCACTTATGAAGAACATATTAAATGGCATTGAGCTAAACATTAGCAGACCTTTAAAGAGCCCCATGACATACACTCACTCAATTAATACAGCATGCAAGATTAGGCTAAAATGGGGTTGGATAATTTGCAGATCAACATGCAATGGGAACCTAAACACTGTTTTAAGATGTTGTGGGAACCAGGCCATTGCATTAAGGCAGGAGTATTAGCTCTGGGTTACAAAACTCAAAAAAACAACTAGTGGTTGTCTGGATTTACACAGCCCAGATCTGGCAGTCCTTGTCCATACACTGGGTACGCCAATGGTTACAGAAAACAAGACATATTTGTTAATCTGGGTTTAGTTTGTTGTGTGAAACCCAACAACTGGGAATGAAGGCAGGAGAATCCATTCAAATTTACTGGAATTTCAAGAAATATCTGAACCCCTGCAAGAAATATTTGAACCCCTAACACAACATAGCTCCCCCGTCCTCCCCCCAATGCTTACTTCATTTATAGAAATTTGATCAAAATGTTACAGAAGTGCCAAGAAAATCTAGACACATATTAACCAACATTTCCAAGCCTGCTGTCCTCCAGATTTGATAAACTACAACTCTCATCATCCCCCACCATCTTGACTGACTGACAATAATAGAGCTACCAGATCAGGACTTCAAGATGATCAAATTTACCATCCATCACATTTGAGAAGGAGGAAAGATGCCTCTAAACCAGTGTTTCTTAAACTTTTTTCTCTCAGGACCCCTTCCCACTTTTAAAATGGAGGACCCCAAAACAGCTTTGTTTGTATGGGTTATATTTATCGATATTTACCGCCTTAAACATTAAAATTGACGCAATCGCTGCCAGTATTGCTTCTCATGATTGTTTGGTGGGAATTGTTTAATAATAGGCTGGCAAATCATTTTGATTTTGCGGGCCCCTGAGAGGGTCTTGGGGGACCCCCAGGACCATACTTTAAGAAGCACAGGCCGTAAACTAAAGAATTAGCATTGTTAAGACTCTTAGCACCATCAAGGTAAAAAAGCTTGTACCATCTGCATTTCAGTACACAAATATATCCTAGCACAGGTCAAAAATCATTTTGCAAATGCTGTTAGCTAGGGCAGGGATCATGAAAAGAAAAAAAGCAACAGAAAAGTTCGTCCTTTAGAACAGTGTTTCTCAACCTTAGCCACTTTAAGAAGGGTGGACTTCAACTCCCAGAATTCCCCAGCCAGCCATGCT